GAGAAGGTACCTGACGATTGGAAGAAGGGTTACCTTGTCAAACTGCCGAAGAAGGGAGACCTCAGTGCTTGCAAGAACTGGCGCGGAATCACTCTCCTGTCCACCCCAAGTAAAATATTAAGCCGCATCATCCTGGAGAGGCTAAGGGATGCACTGGATTCAAAACTACGACCGGAACAGGCAGGCTTCAGGAAGTACAAATCATGTGCAGACCAAATTGCAACGCTTCGTATCATCATAGAACAGAGCATAGAATGGCAATCACCTCTCCACCTCAACTTCATCGACTTTGAGAAGGCCTTTGACAGCGTCGACCGAGAAGTAATTTGGAAACTGCTTCAATACTACGGAGTACCGCAAACCTTTATCAACCTCATTCAACAACTATATGAAGATGCTACATGCCAAGTAATCCACAATGGGAAGCTCAGTGATGCCTTTGAAGTGAAGACAGGAGTGAAACAAGGTTGCCTACTATCCCCCATGATATTCTTGATTGTGGTGGACTGGATCATGCAGCAAACAGTAGGCAGCGAGAAGAGGGGGATACACTGGACGACGGAAAAGAACCTAGAAGACTTGGATTTCGCCGATGACTTATGCCTAATGTCACACAAACTTGAAGATCTGCAGGCAAAAACTAACAAGTTGGCAGAAGAGGCAGCTAAGACGGGACTTCAGGTGAATATAGAGAAGACAGAAGTGATGAAGATACCGCACCACCACCATCAACAACAACAACAACAAACTCCAATCACTGTCAACGGGAGAAACTTAAAGGAAGTAACCTCCTTCACTTATCTAGGAAGCACTGTTTCAACTACAGGCGGGACGGACGAGGACGTCAAAGTCAGAATCGGAAAAGCAAGACAGGCGTTCATTAGCCTGAAACCAGTGTGGAGATCTCCTGCACTCAGCATGCGGAACAAGATACGGATTTTCAACACCAACGTCAAGTCAGTGCTCTTGTATGGCTCAGAGACTTGGCGCGTCACGAAAGGTATTTCCAATAAACTACAGACATTCATCAACAACTGCTTACGCTCGCTGCTGAAGATCAGATGGCCAGAAAAAATAAGCAACAAGGAACTCTGGGAACGAACCAACCAAGAACCTATCACGCAACAAATATGCAGGAAGAAGTGGAGATGGATTGGCCATGCACTGAGAAGGCCGACGGAGGACATCACGCGTCAGGCCCTCGAGTGGAATCCCCATGGGAAGCGACGAGTTGGACGTCCGAGGGTGACATGGAGGAGGTCGTGCGAGCAGGAAATGAGAGCTTCTGGGCTGTCGTGGAGCCAGGTTCAAAAGATCTCAGAGAACAGAGGTCACTGGAGGCGTGCTACTGAAGCCCTATGTTCCACTAGGAACCCAAGGGACTAATAAAAATAATAATAATGTTATATGATGCTACATGCCAAGTGATTCACAATGGAAAGCTCAGTGGTGATGACTGAAGTAAAGACAGGAGTAAGAAAAGGCTGCCGCCTACTATCACCAACGACCTTCCTGATTGTGGTCAACTGGACTGGACCGGATCATACAACAAACTGTGAGGAGGTCTGAGATGGGCATACGCTGTTTGACCAATGAAAAGACCCCAAGAGAACATTTGGATTTCGCCAACGATGATGATTCATGTCGAATGTCTTGTCGCACACACTCTAAAATCTACCGGCAGAAACTAACAAGTTGGTAGAAGAGGTGAGGCAACGAAGACGGGACTTCCTCCAGGTGAACGTAGAGAAGACAGAGTGATGAAGATACCCAACCACCACCAACGACAACAAGCGTCAATCACCATCGAGGGGAGAAACCTAAAGGAAATTGTCTCTTTCACCTACCTAGGCAGGCAGCATCGTTTCAACTACAGGCGGCACAGGCACAGAAGAGGATGTCAAAGCCAGCATCGGAACGACAGCAAGACAGGACTTTACTGATCTGATATCAGTGTTATCTACTGCACTCCACACCATTCAATATAAAGAACAAGATCGGGATTTTCAACCCTAATTCAGTCAAGTCACCGGTTCTATATGGTTCAGAGATGACGCGTTACAAAAAGCGTTTCCAACAAACTGCAGACATATATCAACAGCTGCCACCTACGCTCACTCGATACTGAAGATGGAGATCGGATGGCCAGAAGGAATAACCAACAAGGAACTCACTCTGGCTGTCAACGAACCAACCAAGAACCATTCGCCTAACAGACATGCAGAGGGAAGTGGAGATGGATTGGGCATACACTGAGAAGACCGTTCGACGACACCACGCGCCAGGCCAAGTGGAACCAGCATGGAAAACGACGAGTTGAGCGTCCCAGCTGAGGGTGACATGGAGGAGATAGTGTGAGAAAGAAATGAAAGCTTCTGGGCAGTCGTGGAGCCAGCTTCAAAAAACTGAAGAGAACAGAGTGAAGCCCTATGTTCCACTAGGAACCCAAAGAACAAATAATAATAAATAATAATGTAACGAAGTCAATCTCTGCAAGGTCAAATGAATGAAACGAGACCTCCATAAGTACGTCTTTGATAAAGTTGAATCAGAATGGAGAGGGTGAACATCCTTAAATGACACCGCACGATACACACAACTTACCATAGGCTCTGAAACAAATATAGGTGTTTGAGTACAGTCTGCAACAGATTTACGTAATTGCTCAGCATTCTCCTCACTCAGTCTGCCGTGAGACCTCTTAGCCTACGGAGTCGAATGCCGCCCTCAAGCCAGAAAATACAGCTATCGTCGGACACCGGTAATTACGCCTGAGTTCCAGAACCTGGTGGAGAGTGAATACTTGATCGACGCACCCACGACCAAGTTTGAAGCCTAATAGGTTTTCTCGAGTTCGTTATTCTGGAGTTTTGCTTAGGTGTCCAATGATTACAGAACCCAGAATTCTGGACATTATTCGTCAGATTGATCCCCCTGTGAATTTCATAGGAGGATCTCTCTCCCTTCTTGAAAACTGGGACAAGCAACAACTGAGACCAGTTAAAGGGGATCACATCAGATTCGCACACGCTGACTAACACCTTGGTTCGTCTGGCCAATAATCCTCGATCATTGCCCGTGAATACCTCCGTTACTAAACTATGTGGCTTTGCTGCTCTTTCTCGTTTCAGATCATTTACTGCCTTCCCAACTTCGAAAAGATCTGGAGGGCCTATCTAAGTGTTCCACTCAGGATCAAACTAAGTTGAAGATATAATAGCTGAAAGCTAGTTGAATTGTTCGTCGATTTTCTGCTCTTCGTCCCAGTCGTCTCGCGAGAGAATAAGTGGCAGACACATCCTCCTCAGCAATAGTTTCGCTAAATGTTAACTTTTCTGGCTCAGATTCCTTGATATGTCTAAGCATTTGTCAACTGTTACCTATCACCTCTGCCTTTTACATCTTCTTAGCCTTCATCACTCACCGCTACCAGCGACCATTGCGTAGTCTCTCCGACAGTTTACATTTAAGTTGCTTCCGCTCCTCATTGTACCCGGGGCCTGCAGTAGTGCGTTTATGCGCACCCACTATTCAAAGAAAGTTGCTGAGATCCTTTCTAACCTCTATCTAAGAGTCAGTTGCGATCTTCAACATCGCTTTTACAGCAGATAGGAGGTGGAATCAGGACTCTTCCGCATGAGGGACATCATCCTGTTTCGATAGCTATTAAGCCAGTTCCTTGTTGAAAACAACCTTATTATTCTCACCGTAGAGCTGTGATAGCAATGGGCAGGCAACCATAGTTTTCCTACTTTCATTTAGACGCAGACACACGTGTACTCAAACTAACACGTGGTCGCTGTTCAAACAAGTGCTTCAGGAGGAGCGGCAATCTTCCACTGACTTACACTAACGATAACTGATAGCAAAATGATTTATCTGTATCCAATACTATATCATGGAAATCTTGAGTATTTTATTGACTCTTTCTCTTTGTTCTCAATTGAGCCAACTCCTGTGGATCGCGTATTTATTATTATTATTATTATTATTATTATTATTATTATTATTATTATTGTTATTTAGGTGTTGTAGGGTGAGACGCGCATTCCCGACTCCATTGCTAGAGGACAGTAAGAGAATAACTAGATTGAAAATAATGACAGTACCAATATATGTTTAAGAAACAGATATGCCAGCACAAGCCAATTAATGCAGAGAAATAAAAATGTTGTACCCCTACTTCGTTCATTATCTTTCTATTTCTACACAGGTTGGTATACTTGATGAACTCTTTGTAACTAGTTATCTTCAGCCTTACTTAACAGTGTTAAACTCGCTACCACGGGCAATTTCGACTATAACATTACTACGTGTGTCACAGCAGCTCACATACACAAAGACATCAACATTTTTGTTAACCCATGATGTGAACAGTATGCATTTAACAAAATGCATAAATGCCTGAGAAGATGGAGGCAACCTATTGTTATTAACCCTATATATATATATATATATATATATATATATATATATATATATATATATATATATATATATATATATATATATATATATATATATAGCGATGCGATGCTCCGACGCGATACGATTAACGATGGAACAATGACTTCTCAACTCGATATTCAGCCGACACTAGAAGACGATGGGATTAGAAGTATATTTACTTCAAGCGAATAATCGTGGCTGAAAACTCAGTCGCTTACATATCCTTAAATGGCCTTGGTTAGCGAAAATAACATATTAAAAGTGCGAAATCGACCAATCAGTGTTTTTAGTATCTTAAACTGCGGTAAAAATAAGTAACATAGCATGGTGGAAAACGGGAGCGAAAATAAGGTTTAATTTTTACAGTGATGGTATAAACATGTTATAAGTTAGTTTTCTTAGGGATTAGGTATCCTTAACACCTACGAAAATTATGAATGAATGGTCGGCTGATATTCTCGTTCTTAGTACACGAGAGTGAATACTAAAGCATTCGTCGGTAAACACACATCTAACATACACAGTTACGCATAGAGAAAATCACAACTTACACCGCATTCATAACATCGAGTTTTGTTTGGGTATTCTCGTCTACGGATAAATTCAGCAGCTCGGCCATTATCTCGAGCGATCGATGCTTTTAATGTACGACCAAACATCTAAAAAACATTAATTAGATAATCACACTGAAGGAATAATCTCAGTGGAACAAGTAAGGATTCATACTAACCAAAACAGTAACAAATATTAGTTAAAAAGGAATATATGCAAAGAACACTTAGAATGTCCTCTCCAAAACTTCTAATTAAGATCAATCCAAAATAGTATACCAATCCATTGACTATGGTTTGATTTACCAACGAAAACTTAGGTTAGTCAACTAGCAGGTCCACTAAGAGTAAAAATGTCTTACGGTCTATTTAAAATCAATCCAGTTTGTGCAAAAGTTTTCAACAGCGAAAAGTTGTAATACCAAAGTTCTGTTTCTCTTTAGTCTTTACGAATCTTTTCTGTTTTGAATCTTCTCTACTCTCATTGTCTATTACATCCTCCCATACTGTATTACTAAGAGCTATCAAAATCTGAAGTGATAAACTACAATATCGGTCGGTTAATGATCGCAGTCCATAAATTCTTATTTGTAAATTAGATATGACTAAAAAGTTTCCATAAGATAAGAATAAAACAAAGTCTATACAAAATTTAGTAAGAAATCTTAGCTTCCTACAACAAATATATTAATGATTCCACCTGGTAACTCGTTACAACTCCGGCTGAATAAACACCAACAGCGTCTGAATTATTGACCGAGTCCAACACAGGATTTCAGTTTCAAACAAACAATCCTCAATTGATCAGAGAGGAACGTGTGACTAGTCTTGAACTTATCACAGTTCTTTAGCCAGACCAATCATGATTCACGAACAAATAGAAGTAGTGTCCATGAAACGAGTGTACAACTGTTTACGACAGCTGAATTATCATTCAGTTGTTGCTTTTTACATACTTCAATCTACCCCGGTGACTGACTGACAAAATCAGCGTAAAACTTCGCACACAGGTCCATCGGCTCAAGTTGCCACACTTCAAAGTAGTACACTAAGAACAAAGGCACAAAAGAAGTGATATCAAAGTAGATAAAGTAGTGTGAGAGGATAAACAATCTGAAGATAAAGGTTAGAGCGAATAATCAAGCTTTAGATGTCAAGGAGTGAATACATCTGCATCATTATGATCGATTTTCAGCCATATTACCAACAGTCCTCAACCAGTGATTCCTTTCGTTTCGAGGACCCCAACCAGGCAGTCTATGTCCCCTAACAGGGATCAGGTCAAAAGTAAGAGATTCCGTCGACTGGTGCCAAATCTTGGTCTGGCCACCCTGAACCCTCTTCCAACCTAATCCAACGTCTACTAGCATTCCACGTCAAGGTAGGCGGTGATTCACTAAGTAGAGTACATGTTCAAGCCACCTCAGTCGACTTTAGTTCACAACCTCCTCAACCGACTTTCCTGTCTCGTCTAGTACACTTCGCTTGATCTCAACATTGCTCACAAGGTAATTCCACCAAACGCAAACAATGTTACGAAGGCATTTGTGACCGAAACCCTGTAATCGCTTCATGTCTTGTACTTTTAATGTTCATGTCTTACAACCATATAACAGGACAGAACGGACTGCAACTCAGTCCTTTGGTAGATATTTGGATATCTCGCCAACGACAAATGTGACTCAAGTTAGCAAATGCCAAACAGGCCTTCAGTATCCGAGCTAATCTGGTTTGAACTGAGATAAAGTGTAACTAGAAAACTAGTCGGATGAAATGAAAACTGGATAGTCTTCACTGTAATAACGAATAGATAAACATCAAAGAAATATTGATACTGAATCAAGTTAGTCCTTACATACTTCCAGGTTCATAATTCAAAATCTAGTATAATTCAAGTTTACTTCTTGAGTATCATCTGCATGAGAAACAAGAAAGCTTAACAACCGAAGCTATTCTGTACGTTATTCACATGCACAACATAGGACCAAATATCACTGTGTAGCGCTCCAAGTCGCCATACCTCATTAATTTTTCATCGGGGGAAGCTCAGTTTATGAATTTTTAATAAGATAATCTATGCCAATTTCAAATTATGTAAAATGAATGCTCACTTGAACATTATTCAGTTTCTCTGCACAATTACGAGCATCATTTCTTTCTAAGAAGAGAACAAAGGCAACACCTTTGCTTTTACGACTGTCCTTATCTTTAACAACTGTTACTCTAAAATCGGTAGAAAGAAATAAAAATACACATTGGTGTACAACTTGATCATTGCAAATAAATAAGCGTTAATGTAACTCAGTACCCATACATTAGGCTTTAAGTTATACAGATTATGAAAGTAAATAATGACTAACAGTGTGGAGACTATCAGAGGCAATGATTCACAACACCGATAAACGGAAATCGAAAAAAAAATGGAACATAAGTATGTAGGAAAAAACACAACAAAACTATGGATTTCAAAAGAAAAGGACAAATTTCATCCGTTCAACTGATCTCCAACCTAATGTCAAGTTTTCCAATTACCAGGAATCAAGTCATCACGTCTAGTGAGTTCTTCAAAGTGCTTATATCAAAAACCAATGACTTCACGGTCACGACCACCCTGAAGCTCTTTCCAGCTCATACAAACAACTGAGAAAATAAATCAGAACAGAAGAAAAAATGGTTTGAATGTTTTCCTACACATAGCCGACGAAAAATACTCAAACGCCTCAGATCATCATCATCATCAAAATTAACATAGGACCAGGCATAAGGTAGCGTAGGTATAGCGTAACCATCCAAGTTGCCACACCTCATACCAGTACATTAAGTAACAAGAGGAATGAAGTGAAAAATGAAGAAAAAAAGTCGATCAAAAGAAGTAGAAAGTAGTAAAAGAGAGGAAGGAAGAATGCGAAAATGATGAAACTAAGTAGAGCGGTTAAGATGAGGATAATGTGTGTATGCATCTCCGCTAATAACGCCTTAGGTAATCACATAAATCTCAGACAACCATTTTTACTGTTACCTACTAAGAACAAACAACAATACACAACGCAAACTATATGATAGCCATTAGATTAAAAAAAAGCTAACAAGAATAGGACATATAGATGAATTATGAATGATCCCACGAAAATGAGATGAGACTGTAAACCATCATCGACTGAGATGGCTCGGAAATGTTTTACACAAAGCTATTTACCGTCTGCTCCGTTGCGCAATGTTACCTGGAGTACTCTTAGGTCATAGGCAGACAGATTAGAACATAGCACCAATACATGAAGTCTATGATTGTTGGTCTGAGCAGTTTACGGTAGTGCAGACTTCCCAATCGGGAGCCGCTTGAGAACGTAAGTCAATAGGTGACATAGCTCAGAATCGATATCAGTCGAGCAGACGCATACACATTATTTATATCTAAATCGTTATACTAAATTTTGGTGTTGTCGCATTACTTCTTGCTCTTTCATGATGACTTTCTATCACTTATGACTATTTTCTTATCTTCCCATTTTGGTGCATTCTCGCTTGGTGTGCTGTGTCGCAACTTAGGTCGTTGTGCATTAACGGCAGGTTCAATGTTCATATTGTCTGTCTTATCCGTACTCTGAGCTACTCATCTTTGTCCTTATTACAAGACTAATGTTTAGATGACTGTCATAAAAGCAATACTTTTTTTTCTTAACAGCAAAATAGGGTCCTCACTGTAGTGATCATACAATGCCTGCTATACTTTGATGACTGAAATTCTGCCCCATAGATGTTTTAAAAGTTGCAATTTCCAACGTCTGCTTTAGAAAATCTACTAACAACGATCGATAATCCAGCATTTGTTAGCGCAGTAGGAAAGCCGAAAATGTTCATGAAGCGCTAAAGCCAATGCTGTGAACTGTACACAGCTTGCATAAACGATTTTTACTGACTTACAATTAACGGGCTCTCATTATCCTCCATATTAAAACATTCAAACTAAGTACTCAAGTATACAGTTAGCATCAAAATGCCTGTTAAATGGTGCAGATAAGTGTTCTTCAGATGATAACAGCATTCATTCTTCGTTGCATCGTGACTTTTGTCCGTTAGAGTGCAGAAAGAGATAACCGAAACTCCTCATTTCTGTTATCACTTAAACTTCAATTTAGCTGAACATGACAACATAAGTTGAAGAAATGCCTTGCTGATGAAACCTGACAACCATGAAACCTAGATCCAAAAGTTGTGGTTCGCTGGTTTAGGAAGTAGACTGTTACAGGGTTCGTACATTGTCCCACCTAACAAGATCTGGGCGACCAGGTAATATCATTAGCTCTTACACAATAAAAGTGGCGCATTGCACGAACGTGCACGTGGTTACTAAATGCATTTCGATTTTCGGCATCCAAGAGATTTTTGCTATCTGACTCGCAGAACATAATATCAGAAAAAGCATATCGCAGTATCGCACAACTTAGCTAATCAGTCGCATTGCATACCCGATCGGCCAAATGTAACAAGTGTTCAGGACTTAATAACTATACTGCAAACGATTCGTACGTACTAAAAACTAAAAATACAAAACTAGTCGAGTAATACAGGTCCGTATCCAGTGCTAAGTGCTACACAAAGGTGAATGCCAGTGCCATAGAGTTCCTAAGAACAGACAAATAAAACATTAATTGGATCAAAAAAAGAAGAAAATCTATTCAACGAACAACGATGAGCTTGAAATTATAATAAATTCACGAAATAAAGTGTAAGTTAACAACTATGTTTGTCAATATTCCACTTAGATTTACCATATGATTTACATCAATGTGAACATAATGAAGATTGCAAGTTTAGACAGTAGAAATGATTTCAAAGCATCTAAGTAACAGGTGACAGTCAAAAATATTTTTAGGCAGGTGGTTATAGAGAAACTTCCGGAAAATGAAAATCCTAAAGATTTTCAGGGTTATAAGTGAGATATGGTTGACGGTAAGTAATAGTACAAACTCTGTCGCGGAAAAAGTAATATGCACTGGATTACAGTATTCCTTGTCACATGAGCAGACAAAAGTGGACGTCAGAAACTCATTCCAAATGTTGCAAAAAACTCAATTTCATAATATCACTATCCGTATACAGTTTTTACTACTCTATATGTGATCAAATTGCTAGATAATAACCATTAGTGATAATCTACCAGTCTTCTTTTTTTCTGCTACACATCACCGCTTGTAAGTGCTGTAACTGTTTATCTCAGTCTATATAGTAACAGTGGAGCTGTGGCTCAGTGGTATGGGGAATCGCAACACACTCAGCAACTTTGTGCACATCCGTGCAGTAGGCAATGAGCCACGACTATTGTGTGAGGGCTGGTGGTAATACTCGGCTGCCTAAACCTCGGTAGGTAGAGCGGGACTCAAACCTGTAACTCAATAGTTGATAGTCATCCCCCACACCACTGTGGCTTAGTGGTTTAGGGAGATTACCAACCACTAGTCCCCGCTCCAACTACGAGGGTTTAGGCAGCCGGGTAGCACCACTAGCCCCCACACAATAGGTGTGGTTCATTGCCTACTGCACTAATGTGCGCAAGATGGCTGAGTGCGTTCCACTCATTCATTTCATCTCATTCTACAAAGCTATTGCTCTTCATCTTAACCTAGGTCACACATTAAAATCAGAAAATGCAGATTTTGAGCTCTTGGTTTTCTATGAAAAAACCATATAAAATTGCAGAGCTGCGTCTTCAGATCTACTATTGTTTCGGAGGCAAAACTCAATATACATTAATATTAATCAGTACATAAAATAACATACCTAACAATTTTACCATATGGTTGTAATATTTGATGGATATCATTATTAGTTAAGCTGAATGGCAAATTGCTTATGTATACTGTACTTTTACTCGGGGCTAATGCTTTACTCATAACTCATTTGACACCATCATGTAGTTTTTTGGTAACTGCTGAAACAAAAGGAAATACAAAGGAGATTTATCTAAAGACAGAGTATGGATAACTGTTTTATTGTTATATCAACTGAAACTACATGAAGATCCGCACACTAGGCTACAACCAAGCCAATTACGTGATGGTTAGTAATATGAACAAGGTACTCAGGCCTCGGTGGGTGGTGAGGCTCTAAAGACTGACCCAATGGTTAGACACCGATTGCCTGCGCCAGTGTTCTTCAACTTCGTAAACGAAGACTGATTACAGTGAAGTGCACACTATATGTCTGAGAAATCGATAGACTACAATGGCAACCGCGGAACTATGTCAAAAAACCATTGTCATAAGCTAAACACGATTTTCTAGGAAAGCTCTACTGCTCAAACCAAAAAATCATGAAGTGCTTGGTATCAACAGCCTTGCCAGTAAGGTACATTTAGTAGTTGTGATTCTCATCGCATCCCATTACTCTTGCAAATATACTACTAACTTCAGAGATTTGTAGTTCGTTTATGCATCAGATCTGGAAAAACCCACTTCTTCTGAGATACATCTTTTCAAGTATACCACCTGAAATCTAAGGCAAAAGAGCCTGAAATAACAACCAGGTTATCGGACCTCTTTAGATTAGTGAGTGTCGGTGGTCAGTGGGAATCTTTCTGGACTACTCATACCTATCAGTGAAGCGTCAAACAGCTGTAATAAAAATGAACAAATTTTTATAACTTTCATGGGGATGCAGCCTCAAATATCAATGACTAGAATGATGCTACTATATGAAGCTACAACCTCAACATGTGATTGGTTTATGTGATTTTTACAAGAACTCGCAAAATTATTGAAGACCACCGAGTACTGAACAGCCTCATGTTTCAGAGATCCAAATGCGCACACATTTCTGTGTCGTAAGTGAATTGAAGACACCTCACCGTGACAAAACATTACAGGTGGTTAGTTACAAACGGCGAAATAACTATCCACAAGATTGAGCTTAATTAATCCTTTAAAAGCTTATTAAACTGTCTGACAATTTACATTATCCTTACAAAGCCTTCTCGAATTTAAAGATTTTGCACCGACAAAATTCTGTAACTCATTAACACGCTCTTATTCCATTCTAGTCCAGGAACTAGAAAAACAGTAAGAGATGGACATAATATATGGATGCAGCCGCGCTCAACCACGAATTATATCACCTAGTCTCGGACCACCGAGATCAATTGTCTTGTGAACCTCAACGGCGAAGTTTACATTTCCATGCACGGCTCAAACCAATGGTCAGAAACTTTGAGGACTGAGGTTACATCCTATTTTAGTCACCCTTAACCTTTTTCTCAGTCTAAAAATATTTAACATGGTGGGTTAAGATAGAAAGTGACCAGGCATATGTAACACATGTTCAGTTGAGGAAGGTTTAGGACTTACAATTAAGCCTAACTATGTCCCGTTGCTCAGATGACAACCTTACTTACTCTTTATATCATCACCCCAAGCCAAAAAGTATTTTAATAAACAAACTAGATTACAAATAGCAATCATATCAAGAAATGTAGGATTAAAAAGATTCAAGTGATGTATTCACTAGATTATTTGATATACAAAATTATGCATGTGAAATGTGTACATTGATTAGAAAACAGCTAGCGCCGTTTATGCTTAACACGAGGTTTTTTCTTCCCACGACGAAATCGCTTTTTACTTCTCACCGGATTCATTTTCAGTGCTTTTTTAAGCGACATATTAGGTCTACAAATAACAATTATCGACAAATGACTTACTCTGTATCACAGTTAACTGGCTTAGAATCTTGCTCCTAAAATAAAAACAAGTGAAACTCTTCATTTGAGTGTACCTTGCAAGCTCCCATGAAGTAGTGACAATGAGAAATATCCAATTCTTGAATAACAACGTTATGGTTTCCAATGGTTTGGTTTTCACAGGAACGGACATTTTCAACACAATCTAGCATCGCAGGCAACTGAACAGTTTCAATTTTTTTTCGAGCAGCTTCCCTGTACTAGTAACATGAGAATACTTGATTTACAACTTACTTTGGCTTTAACAGCTTTAATTTCTTCTTTTAATTGTTTTTCTGCTGCTTGACGTCCTCTCTCTTTACGTTCAAGTTTTCTCTTACGAAACCCAGTGAGATATTCTCTGATAACTCAAATATTAAAAACAAATATCATACTTTCTTTTCTCCTCATCAAAAATTAGAGAAAGCTTTGGTATTTTCCTCATAGTAACACAGTATTATAAACACCTGGTTAGTGATAATAAAAAGGTGATTATTGAAGTTAGAAAACTAAACAAGTTTTATGAAGTAAATAAATATTTGTAGGTAGAAATAAATATGAATATTCACTCGTAAAAATCAGTATCATTTACCACAAAGTACTAGAGGATAATCAGATGATATCCCCCTTAGCATAAGGCACTAATGGTCACCCAATTTCAATGTAAGCATAATGTTGAGATAGAATCGATCCATTAACTCATCAAATTCATGCCGTGCAAACAACTTAACTTGTTATAAATTTACGTACTAAGCTATAAATTAAGCTGGTTGTAAGGAATTATTACTATAATCCGTTGTCCAGGTCAAAGTGAGTGCAGAGGGATTCGAACTCAGAGTCCGTTGCTTGAAATCCGATATTCTAAAGCGATCAGTCAATTTTTAAACAATTTTATGATAAACAGTTATCGCATATAAGTTGTTGTAATCGATTTTAAGAAATCTCAGAGTCTTAAACGGCTGATTTTTAAGATTTTGAGAACATTTCCAACTATATGAATTAATTGTATTACGTCAACATTGTTTTCGTCCAAACTTGTAAGCTAAATAGAAGTGCTACATTCCGAAATCGGCATGTTATCTACTGGGTTGCAATGGTCCCTTGCCAGATAACGGCGTTGACTGCTTTCCTGAGCGCAAGAACACACCGTTAGATACCATTCGCTACGTAGTACTGCGTGGGAACTTGACGAGAGCACAGTCATGAATCTCAGAGGGAAAAGTGCAAATGATCATACCGGGACTACCAATAGATCCTAAAACTACCATGGGAGCCTCAGTAGACCTATATAAGATAGCTATCAGTGCATAAATACATCTTGATCAACAGCTGAAAACTCAGGAAGAAAATAGAACTCACTTCAGCACTTGTCACCACATGAACTTCGACGCAGCATACTTGTCTGTCAACTCCAGTACGTAAATATGTCTAATCTTGTGCAGGATGACTAATTCTTAAGTATGTGAGGTACTTTTATTTGGTGCTCATTGTGGTCCATGTAAGCCAGTGAATATTCATGAAGGCTTTAAGAGTACGATATATGAACTTAGTAATATGCTGCAGTGGCGTATCCACTTACCCAACAGAAATGTAACTTCCGTAATACTAAAAGGCATTAGTCACACGCCAGCTACATCATCCGCAAAGCAGACTTGGAGTTATAACTCGAAATTAAAAAAAGATGTATGTAGAAAACTGTCGTCGCAATGTACACAGAATGGCAATTCCTGCTGAGAAATGACGCTGATTTTTGCCGGATGATACATAGTCTACACCATCGAGAGATATCACCTTTTGAAAAACTGACTATAGATACGATCACAGTATTCACCATATTTTCAATGCATTTGTTACACCTAAGAGTTGTTCGCTGATTTACTAGGCTATTGTAAAAGATTATCAGATTAACCAACATAAAATAGAGGCGATTAGTTCGCGAATTCTTAGCTCTCATAAACAAATACCCATAGAATTCCAACGTGTCGACCTGCGGTTGGTGTTAAAAAGTAGAAAGCAATTGTATAAAGATCAGTTTCGCCTTATTTAGGCTGCTTGTTTGAAAGACTCTACTGTTGTATCTGTACAATTTTATGAATCACTTCGCTTGCGCCTATAAACTGAGCTAAATGTACGTTGTCCGTCATACCTGGACGACACAAAAAGTCATGTAAACTGGTCAGCAACCTGCAAGTAATATTCGGCGTTGACAATATGGTGTACAGCATAAGCGGCTAACTCGTCATGTGATGAATTCGCGCAACGCGATCTACTCGATGTACTTTCATGCTTCCCTTTCCAGTTTTACATACATAGTGTACGGGCCCAACAATCCAGTTGCTCAAATCTACAAATGAATTACAAAATATCGATCCGTGAGCTCGAACGTATCACTTCATACCACACAGTGGACTTGGCATTAAATGTTGCAAAGCCGGTTGGTTCAGTTGGAGAATTTAAGTTGTCAACTACGCTACCTGATAACTGTCTTGGTGGACAATGTTTCAGTCACCATAAATGAGATAGTATGTGATATGGGATTTAATTTTCGACTTTATCACGATCCATATTCATTCCTCTTCAACAGCATTGATTCTACAGACATTATTGTATACATACGTGGTAATTAATGTCTTCACTGTATCACAGCACTTACAAAAATATTAATGCCCAATACATTTACTTTTCTGTGCTACACTATCCTGTAGATGTACTGCTGCTGTACACTTCAGTGGACAGCTAATTGGGGGCTGACTAACTTAAGGTACCAAAGCATGGGACAAAGTCAACGCTTCTAAATCTTTACGTTGAAGTAAGGATGAGTGAGTGTATATCTGATCCCCATTTTTATAGAATTATATTCGGATTGCCGTTTCTGCACTAATAATATTAACTCCACTTTTCCAGTTAATTAGTTCATATTTAAGACGCATAGTATTTGATTATCGAAGTACCCAGTTTCAGCGAGATGAGTCTTCACTGGTCATGGTCTACTAAGGCCGGAGGAATGCACCTTCGCTGATTGGCAACAGAATATAAAGCCAGTCCAGCGTACTTGTGATGCTTATACATTTTCATACACAACTGCTTTCAGTTCAAGCGTTTTCCGCTGTAACCATAACGGAAAACAGTGGTCTATCCTTTCCATCAGATGCAGAACCATTAAAAGCTTACCAAAAGCAATATCATAGAAAGGGGTCAACGATAGTGTTAGCACCGTCCTGCCGATAGGTACAGTGATCACAACACAGAAAAGTCTTGTACTAGCTCATTAATCTCAAACCTGGAGAACCCCAGAGTCCCGACCGTTTCCACCGTAGACTGTTATGGCTGTTAGAGGACATTGTTGCTGAACCAGTCACTAACCTTCCAAATGTCCTCTCACACTTGCCTCCCCAGTGACTGGAAAGCAGTTATAATCAGCTGTTTTTAAGGTCGGCAGTCGTCAGTTGATAGCTAACTATCGCTCTAGGAGTCTAACTAGCATAGCTGTAATGGTTTTAGAAAACAATAATTCGTGACAAGCTACTTAACTATGTTGAGTCAAATAATCATTTAGCACTACCACAACACGGTTTACTAACTGGACACTCGTTTAACAAACCTTCTCATCGCCAGAGGAATGGGTTGCAGTCCGTGACTGTTAACTGTTAATATATGCCCCGTTCATAGACTTCAGTAAGGCTTTCAACAAAGTCTCATGAAAATTACTAAGAAAGCTCTCCTCTTTCGGGTTCGGTTTTGCACTACAAGCCTGAGCTAGGGACTTTCTGTAAGATAGAAAGCGAAAAGTGACAGTTAATGAGACGCCGTCCAAGTAAAAAAGTGTTATGAGTAGAATCCCTCAAGGAACAATCCTTCGTCACCCTCCTTTTCGTGTTAAGTCAACGAATTACCGCAAATGCCCAACTATTCGAAGCTGCTATCCACCGATGATGCAAAAATCTAGTCATCTTACGTAGTGATGCTGTTAAGTATTCTCTCCAATGGGATTTGGATAAACTGGTAGGTTGATCCAAACCTTGGTGCCTGGAAAGCAACTCAAGTAAAAGTGCAGTAATGTACACTAGTTGAAGCACTTGTTTCCAGTATTCCGTTAGACGTACATCATTACTTCTGGTCTTCGAACTAAGAGAACTAGGTGTCATCGAAAGTAATAATTTGAGGACTTTGGCACACTGTGATGTAGCTGCAGCAAAGGGCTTCCGTGTATTACGGTCCATCCGTAGAGCTTTTAAATGTTCTAGTCAGGATACTCTATTCTAAGTCAAACCTCAATAAGGGGAACGATTAGATCGATTGAGCGTATTCTTGTCTTACTGCAGGAAAACGAGTGATCTCACACTGGCATTCTGCGTCCTTAATAATAATGTCTACGGTACTAATATGCCTTATTTTTCCACTCCCGCTAGGAATGATTATCTCCAAGGAAATCATAGGGAAATCCAAAAGCTGCGATTGAATACAATTAGCATGAATTCGTGTTGCTCCCATCATGTGACGAACCGCTGGAACCCCTTACCTCAACAAGCAGAATCACTACTTTCACTCAACACATTCCAGGCAGAAATAGGTCTCCACGGAGATAACTATTGCAAGGATTAACACAACACAGCTGGCCTACTATCTTCATTATTGAAGACTGCATGGAGTTAAGGATTTAAACAGGTCTGTTAAATAACTAGGCTGCAGAAAATGTTGCGGAGAGCCTCGAGCAAACTTATAGAAATGCAGAAAGCGCTACATGACCCTTCGGTTAGCTTAGGGCGCTGAACAAATTGTAAAACATTTTCGACTAACTTCGGGGACTACAGAAACTGTGAAAGCTGAGGCAATAGTTCCGCATTATACCGTACATTTCTGAATGCAGAATAAGCCCGAAGTCAAAGAAACAAACTGAAGAAATACAGACTGGTGACGCTCTTATCCGTACTTTCTAAAGTAATGGAGTCGTTAATATATGATGGACTGAGGAACCACCCCAGTACTGTCGACCGTCGAGGTCGAATAACTATTTGAACAATATGAACCACTTACCAATGCAGGCTTTAGGTCAACCAGCAAGGGAAGCTTTAATTTCGCCCACAACAATATTAAGTTTTAATCTTTGTCGTTGCACCTGGTATGAAACGTCTTTAATGTTACAAGAAATTGGATGAAAGCTAGTATCAGCATTTATGTGGTCGGATTCCCTTAGACTCCTACTTTGAAATAAACCAAGCCGAATAATACTCACTTAAGTCAGTATTGGGTAAAAACCACACACTGTATGTGGCACTGACGCACTTGTAGGTCACTCAACTGGTAGGTTATTGGTTGAGACAAATTAGCTTATTTTGAGGTCTTTTCGAAATAAAACGCCAATTGTATCCATTGTGTATTTTCATCTGCTCTAATTGAGTAACATCGTTACTGAGAATTCCATACCAGTTATGATTTCTAAAAAATATATGAGCTAGAAAAACTGCACAGTAGCACATACCGCTTTTAATAAGGTATCTACTAAGCGCTGCACCCAGTGAGCATTTTCTCTGGGCCAAATAAGGCAGTGTTGGCCCACTCACTATGGAAAAGGTCGGGTAAAATATAGGACCAGGTGTAGGGTTTCGCAACACTCTCCCTACGTCAGCCCCTATGAGTTTTGACTCCGCATTTAGCTGTACGTTTGGCCCCAAGCTTATAAAAATGGGCCGACGTCCGGCCCGTCATACTGATTGTTGGCCCTTCAACCAGCTCTATCCGCCCTGCTTTTGGCCCGACTAAAGCAGTGGCTCCAAGTTTGGCCTCGCGTGCACCAAATCTGGTCTGACGTCAGATTCATGTTCCAACATTTACCTATTTCCAACATCCAATATCTTTTTACGAGCTAGTGTAAGCCAACTGATTTCTTCACGCTAACTTCTAGGTCTTGTGGAACGGTTTCAGGTCTTTGGTGGATTCCGATGCAGTAGGTCTACCCGCTTGACTGCTGTAGCTCTGGTTAGCCGGCGGGAAGTTGGGTGTTGGTTAAATTTGTAGGGAGTGTTGTCATTTGTTTGTCTTTCTTTCAAGGACTGCGGTGCAGACGGATTCCTCAAGTGTCGTACCAGCAGACAATTGGTCGGAATGGTTGTAAAAAGGAGATGAAAAATATGCCCAGAGGAGTCAAGGGAGAGAGAGTCCAAAGAAAAACAGATACAAAAAGAAAGAAAAAAGGAAGAAAGTGACTAAGAAAAGGGGAACGTAAATTCGGTAGGAAAAAGAGTACATAACATTATAGGACGGATGGGAATGGAGATGTTAACTCTATTAGTAGGAGACGGTAACTGGAGGGGACGTCTATGGGGGAGCATAAAGTTGGGCCAGGTTCCCAGTGGTAGTGGTGTTGCAAAGTATTCTAATAATGGATTGGCCGTGCTGAGTTGGTAGGTCATGTCGGCCTAGTCCATATCCCAGCTGAATGGGCGCAAACCGTGAGTCGTTGCATAAATGTCCAGCCTCTTATTGAAGCTGTCAACAGACAGAGCAGTAGGAATCTTGGCAGGCAATGCGCTCCAGTGGCCACAATCTCACAGAGAGAAGTGTGACCACACATGGGTTTTCGCCCTTTGAAGGGAGCTTCTCCTAGGGCTACCACGGGGATCGCCAAAATGGTCGTTTGGTAGGATTCCACTGTTCAGGTGACCTGGATTACTTAGCATTTTGTAAGCCGTCATCAGTTCACCGCGTAATCTACGGTTGCCTACACAGTGGAGTCCTAAATCTTTCAGCCTGGTATTCGCCTCGTTCTCACGACACCCTTCGTAGCTGACCAGTGGACTTTCTCCAAGAGTTTCAGATATGTTGGTGCAGTGGCGTTGTGGACCTCTGAGTGAGGTGGCATGTAGGTCTCATGCAGCTTCAAAAGGAGTTCCGGGGTCAGAACGCCTAGCTGTCTGCGCATGAAGTGCAGTACTGAGTAGGCTCTGGAGGCATCTCCTGGATAATTGGAGCTAGTACCTAGTTTGTCAGTCAGCATTAGTCCCAGGTCTTTCTCCATGGTGGTATGGGAAAAGTGTGTTCTACGGAGAGAATGGGCACCCCCTGAAAGGCAGGGGTGCGGAGAAACTTGGCTCGGCACTTACCCAGATTAAATGCCAGCTCATTAATATCCACCCACTTTACAGGTGATCTGAGATCACTTTGTGGTGCACTTGATTTCGTTTCCGACGTCACAGCTCTCCATAACCTAACATCATCAGCGTAGAGCGGAAATGGGGAGCTGAGATTCAGTGGAAGGTGGTGCACAAAAGGAAGGAATGGTAGTGGAACCAAAATCGCTCCTTGCACGACACCAGATGATGATGTCCTCCAGGTCGAGCAAACCCCGCTGGGTTTTGTGCAGAACTCTCTGAGGTCTAAATAATCCTTTAACCAGGGGAGCACTTGTCCCTTGACACCCAACCTTGATATTTTGTGAATAAGAATGGTATGCTGGACTGTGTCAAGGGTCTTAGCAAAATTCAGGAAAATAACATGGACAGCAATTTAGAGGTTCCGGCATGTCGTCCACTTATCACCTGCCACCAGAATGTTTGAGGCACAGGACCTACCCTTTCTGAAGACATTTTGAGCATCACTTAGTGCTTTCCTCCCTCCTAAGTACTCCTTGACACGGTCGTCTACCAGGTTCTCCATTACTTTTGACACCACTGACAGACGGGCTGTTGGTCGATAGCATTTTGGGCTCTGCCCATCTCCCCCTTTGAAAGTGAGTGACAGAATAGCACGTTTCAACTCTCGTGGGAGTATTTGATTGTCTAAGGAGTGTTGAAACAGATTACGTAGAGGACCACACAAGACACCCACGCATTGTTTCAACACAGCCGGCTGGATGTGATCGCATCCTGGTGGTTTCCCTGCGTAGTGCTCTGATAGCTTTTCCAGGAGCATGGAGGGAGTTCCCTTTATTCCAGGTAACTCTACTGCATTTGGTGGTGCTGAATGTTGGTCGGACAGTTGGCAATTTCGGTTCGATGGAGACGTGTTTAGCTGCGTATCGAAGGCGGCGTTAAATACCTTGGCAATCTCTGGTCCGGAGAGACTCTCCCCATCCAGGCCTCTCAGGGCATAAGCCCCCTCGCCAGTGGGTTTTCTGCCCGCCATAAGTCGATATAGGTTTCTTGGGTTCACCTCGAGCTTTTGGGCAAGGTTCGTCTGGAATGACCTCCTGTCTTCCCTCATTCTGATGTTACATCGATTTCTCAGAGCAATATACGTGGTGTGGTCAGACTCTTTTCTGGAGGTCCCCCGCTTATACTATGCTTTTCCCCTGACTTTCAAAAGGCGTTCGGTGCCTCGCCTCCTCGGTATTGCTGTGGTCACTGGGACGTTTTCAGAGATAGCCCTCGTGGTAATGTCTAATTCGTTTCCAATGTTGATTCATCGAAATGGAACTCCACTCCTGAGGCCATAGAGCTGTTGACAGATATTAGTTCATGGCCACGAAGTTTGCCTCGCTGTAGCAAAGACAAGGGCGAGATGCCTCCTATGACAATTGTTCGCTGAGTACCAGACAGAACACCACGCTGTGATAGCTGCCAAAAGGGGTTTGAACCTGAACATTTTCAGCCAGTAGATAGTCGCTGGTAAAAAGGTAGTCCAGTTTGGACGGTTTTCCGCCCGACCCATAGCGAGTGTCATCACCAATGCAGTCCCATGCAGTCCAGAATTTTTGACACTGTTGAGTGGGTTTTGGCTGAACCTTCGGCTTGAGGTTCCTCTGTCCTGCCCGAGATTGGTAGTCGGGCGTTGAAGTCGCTGGCTGTAGTGAGCCGATTTAGCCCATGGATGTCTCCCGGCACATTACTTGCAGTGGCTCTCGGTGGTCAAACGTTCCTGATAGGAGTTCTGTAAACACCCCAAGACAGGTTTTTGGTGTGTCCAACTGTGGAGCGACACCAGATGGGGTCTGGGGGCCCCAAAAGCAGAGCTTCAGTTTTTAAGATGGTCACTTATATACACTGCCACTCCGCATCCTTCCTTAAACTCCCTGTCTCTCCTGAACAGACGTAAACTGTCTATACTAGCTTTGATGTCACTCACATCCGGTAATAACCAGGTTTCTGCTAGGATTGTGATCTTGGAACAAGGCTGGAGTAGAGGGACCGTAATTCCTCCCGTAACGGAAAGATGATCTGAAAATCCCTCCTGATCACTCTATTGGATAGTATTGGCATTTATTTGAATATTTTACTCTCGTTATGGATGGTGTGCCTTCGACCCTAGCCGGCGTAATGTTACTTGATTGTTTTGCTGTCTTCTTTGGCTTTGCGCTCAGCATTCGCCCTTTTATGAACGTTTCAATTTCCCATTATGTGACGCTGGACTGTTGTCAACGTGACATTGTTTTGCTACGCCCGACATTTTGTTTTGGTTCAACTTACGGTTGTGTTGCCATTTGACGGTTTGTCTTTTGATTGTCCACTGGAAACGTTTATTTGTTGATTTGCTACTGGTGGACAGAGTACTGATCCCTTTGTCGGGAATATTCTTACTGACTCTCAGGTACTCAACAACTGTATTTGTTTAGCCAGTTTTCATCGCATAGCACGAATTTGTACCCGAGAACGTTTGGACTGTGTAGTTACCCAACGGCACTGCCGAGGTATTGTTGTTATTTTGATATAACTGATTGTTGCTTTGATAGTACCACAGATTTTGTTACGAATCTTCTAACGACTTACTACAAGCCGTGTTTTGATATTTTTGATCCAACCTTTGACTGTGCATCACCCGTGGCACTGTGGGCAGATGTACCAGAACCACGTGCATGAGTAGCGCGCCATGAAGGCGTAATATTGGTCTGGTATGTCCTCATCACACTGACCGTGTACCCGCTTATTGCAGACGTCATAATCAAAAGCAGCATCCCTTTGGCTACGATAAAACCACACGTGTGACAGTCATCAGTCTGTCCAGAAGATTTGGTCAAAGACGTTGTAACGGAAAATTGATCTGAAAATCCCTCCCGATCACCCTTATTTGATTGTATTGACATTTATTTTAACATTTTTACCCTCGTTATGGATGGTGTACCTTTGACCCTCGCCGGTGTAATGTTATTTGCTTGTTTAACTGTCTTATTTGACTTTACACTCGGTATTTGCCTTTGTATGTTTGAGACTTATCATGAATGTTTCACTTTCCTATTATGTGACGCTGGACTGTTGACAAGGTGATGTTGTTTTACTGCGCACGACATTTTGTTTTGGTTCAACTTACGGTTGTGCAGTGATTT